ATTTTTATTAATCACAATAAAAACTATTAGAACGTAAAACATCAACTTGGAAGATAAGTTCTCATGTTTTACTATGATAAAATTCGTATATAATGCTGAGATATTTACAAAACTCCGGACCGCAGGTGTATGTGGTGGGGAACGAACGCGCGCTATTGTCCTTTCCGGGGACTAGCGCACTTCACCACCACACCATCCGGGTCCTTCGTTTTGCCTGTCTCTCAGCTACTGATCTTTGTCATCAGCAATCACCCGTCAACGAGAATGATCTGGGGGGCCCAAATCGGCATTGAACCCAGTTAAGCTGAGGCTTAGTTATAATCACGGGTGATTGCTGTTGGCAAAAGATCAATAGAACTAGCTGAGAGACAGGCAAAACGAAGGACCCGGATGGAGTGGTGGTGAAGTGCGCTAATCCCGGAAAGGACAACAGCGCGTGTTCGTTCCCCACGGCATACACCTGCGGTCCGGTATTTTGCAAATATCTCAGCATTATACACGAGTTACATTTCGCAACATACCCTGCCATTAAAAAGAAAAAGGCAGTAAATAAAAGAGTTAAGATTATGATAAAATTGTTTTTTCCTGGAGCTAACGACGTACTTTTTGTATTTTATTTCTTCAAAGCTCATATCTGGAACTCGAAACTAATGAACAAGTAAGACTTCATCTAGCACAAAGACTAGTTTTCCGTTGTGCATCGTTTATCTATTCAACTTCCACTCCGCTGTTGGAATTCTATAAACCTTAAACTTCGTTATGAATTTCTTTAAAGGTTTCGATTCTAAACACACCTAAAATTCGGCAGCACACCGTATAAAAACTACAAATTTGGTTAATGAAATAGAGAAAAGGCTCTTCCATCAATCTTCTGAACCTCTGAAATGCTTTAGGTGAACTGAAAAACTAGCTTCCCCACGAGTATCGGAAAAGGAATACCAATCCTACAGGATGTTATTTTCTCTCTCGTGAACTTCAAAGAAAACCACCAAATCTGGGAAATTTCGGAAAGTGTGATCTCAGATTTTCGCTCCGAATTGCTACCAATTCTATATAACTTAGCATTTTCAACGAAGCGAATGACAACAGTTTGTTCTAGATATTCAAAAACTACATACTTTCAGAAATGTCCTGACTATGACCACTGTGAAAAAAGGTGCTAAATGGAATCCGGATGTCTTGCATGTGAATGTCCATCGAATACCAGCTGTCATTAAAATTAGATTCTATCCGATGTACAAGAGCGCACATAGTCACTGTGTAAATCACCCTATTTTCTATACTAATACATTACTTTTTAAGGTTTTGGAGTGTATATCTCACAAAGTTCTGGAACTGATCGCCTGTTCTAGTTCTTATACTTGGTCTTCTAACTTGAAATTCTCTATTATGTTATTATGATGAACCGTTTCAGTCAATAATCCACTAATTGTATATAGCAGTATGGGCACTTTCTGGAACCATTTGTTTTAGAGTGCAACAATAAAGAATTTGGTATTGAATAAATGCGCCTATTATTTGTGATGCAGATTATACTCTAAACACAAAATCTCATCTCTCTACGACTGACGAATCAATAGAAAATGCACATAAAACAAGCCTGCTCCTTGCTTTCGTAAACGAAATTTCGCTGCTCTCATTCTGTACCAATCTACAACACGTTACTTTCTGAAACAAAATGCTTAGAAATGGGCAAGTTACTAAATATATAACTAGGAAATTCTAATCCTACATGGACAAAATTCCTGTACAATTAAGAGAACATGCTCAAGTCAAGGATCATGATAAAATAACGAAAGGATAGAGCTCTCCACGTCGATCAATCCATGAGGGATGGACCATGAATTCCACTTTATTCATCATCGTTCAAGGTGATTAAATGCATACCTGGCCTTTACAATGACTAGCAGTGGCCTACCGATGTATCGAGTCAGTGCTGCTAATCTCCCAGACAACTCTGCTACCAATCTGCCTACCCCGGAGGTATGGAGGGCTTGGTAGCCCTGGGGCGCTGCAATCCATCCCATGTGTATTGCAGAGTGCCTCCGACCACTGAGCTACACGCGGCCTTGAGGAACACATCTCAATTGTTTACTTATAAATTCAGAACATTTCCATCCAGCTTCAAGTCCACTAAGTGCCTTTTGCTAATTTTAGCCCTTATATTCACAGTGACAACAATACATGGAAGCTATAATAACCGATTAATTTTCACAAGTGTAAAACTATATTGTAAAGCTTGTTATTGTAAAATGAAAAATAAGTTCAACGGACTTACATGACCAGGATGTATAAGAGGTCATGCATAGTCCTTTGCAGCCTTTGTTTCATTCACAGTAATCCCTTATGTGGCGACTGAGCGGCGTTCTGACACGATGAACTCGTGTGGCCTCCCCTCCACTTCTTAGCACAACTTCTACGACACTAATGCAACAGACAACGCATATGAACAAACATCTCTTATTTTCACATAATACTGTGATTTTACAGCGCGTAACGCCAACTATTAGAGGTAAAACATGATAATGCTTACATATGAGTTAAACAAGCCGACCCGGAAAAGGAGTTAACGACAAAAACTCTGAAAGCTTCTCAATAACCTTTAAGGATGCCCAATATCATCTACTTTCTCATGCTCTTACAGACTTTACTAAATCACAAAATTAGAGACCTTTTAAACCTCAAGAATCGGCGAATAATGAGAAAAACCTGAATTGTTAAATGTTAACAATACTGATGACTGTAAACGCATGAAAATTCCCTAGACTGATATTGATACTATGGCGATATCACAACTATCCTATCAGCAACAAATCGCTATGAAAATATAAAACTGCTATATAGACACCATATAACGAAGACTGAATTACATCTGCAATTAAAGGCTAATAAGGCCTACACCTTGAATCTACAACGAAAACAAAAATAGCACTCACAGGAATAACAGAAGAGATTGTTAATGATAACATTACAGAAACTGCCATCGCTATAGAACAAATAATAAGTTATTTTGCAACTTTGTTACGTGCAAGAGTGCATGGTGTACCGGGTTGAGAAGGAGGGGCAATTGAGCTGAACGAACTACGGCACGATGCCAGCGAGGCTACCGAACCCCTGAATATCAGTTCGATAAAGCCATTTAATGCCCGATGTTTAGTTCACCAATCTCAGTTCAAATAAAGCACTTAGCTGTTCATAAATGAACATTGAAAACAAGAAAATTATTAATATGTCTAAACATAATAAGCCTCTCAATGGTTTACCGCCTCATCGTGGCTGGGAGGTGTTCCTGGGTGTCAAGATGCAATGTAGAGCGGAGTAATCCATCCCCAACGGTCTCCCAAGCTGAGAAAGAGTACGACATTTCCATCGGGAAGCCCAGCTAAGAGTAAACCAATACCATGATCCATTACCGCTCCGGTATCAAAATAATCGAATGGTAGCAAATCTCCCTCTGATTCACAAAAGCGGTGAGTGTGTGTCGTGGTGACGGGCTGGTGTAGATTTTGGCCGACCTGGCCTTGGGACTTCGGGTAACCACAATAGCTAAACTAGCAAGGCTCCGAAAAAATGGAGATTGTGCTGGGACCCGCACAACCAGTGAGGATGGACCAACCAGGTAAGTAAGCACTATAATAATCATAATGACTATTCGATAGTAAAGTGACATAGCATGCTAATCTCCTTATTTCTTCTTGGAACATTTCATCCACTATTGGAAATAAACAAGAGACAATAAACGTACATTTTTCGGTTTTCGAAAGAGCACACCAAAGATTTGACTTATATTTGCCGTTTTAAATATATGAAGACACATATGATTACAGCTACCCAAATTACATTCCATGACAGGCAATTCAAAATTATCTTGCCAAACCTGCAGGACTGGAACACGAATAGATAAAGTGCCGATACAACGTCTAGCAAACTGGAATTTTGATAGTTGAAGTTTCTTCTTCATCTAGAGTCCTGGGTGTCAGTTCAAACAGATTCCCCTATTTTAACTTTTTTATTCACTGCCTTTTCTTTTTAACAGCAGGATATGTTGACGAAGGACCTGCATGGTATGGTGGCCAACGCATTACCCCCGGAAAGGACAATAGCGCGTTCGTTCCCCACCGCAGACACCTGCGGTCCGGAGTTTTGCTGATATCTCTGCATTATAGTAGTTAGATTCCTCGATTTTCATGAAATGAACCTCATTCTTCACACTTGAGAAGTTTTGTTTACGAGCATATCGGGTATAATAAATAATAGTAACAACGAAAAATATTAAGTTTTGTGTGTGCTGTGCAAGCAATGCAATCAGGAATGAGATTTGAATTTTCCCCAGCACAAATAAGTTCGATTTTCGAGGAACAGTACATGTCAAATAGCTATCCCACTAGTCATGCGTTACCTACTTCAAAAAGAAAAAGCTCATAGTGGAGGTCACCCCTCAACAATGGAGCCAGCCATTAAGCATGAAAGATCAGACAAAGAAACTTTACTGATTGAACAACACATTAATTATGACAAGGATGCTCAAATATAAGCAAAACTGGGAACTTCAGTCGCGCTGCGAACCCACGAACACCAGTTCCATAAAAAAATGTTTTTGTATCATTTTATTCAAAGGTGTGGATGACAACTGTTGACGATATTCAGTTTTTAGTGAAAAAAATTTAGGCTGCCAACGATGCTTGAATCCACTATGTTTTTGTTAAAGAATGTTTCAATTTCTGGAGAATTCTTGCGTCAAAAATTAGGGTAACATTTTATAGAAACTTTTTGCACCCTTACATCAACAGTTCAAACTCTTAAGTATTACAGTTAATGGAATACTGTCGGTAGTGTATTATGTGTGACACAACCATAACGATGCTGAGATATCTGCACAACCCCAGACAGCAGGTGTCTGTGGGGAGAGACGAACGCGCTATTACCCTTTCCAGAGGTAACGCATTCACTACCACAACATGTGGGTCCTTCGTCTCGCCTGCCTATCAGCTAGTTTTCTATCAGCCAGTGTCTTCAGTAATCACCCGCCAACTGGATTGGTCTGGAGAGCTAAGAAAAGTAGCTGAGCGACAGGCGTAATGAAGGACCCGCGTGGTGTGGCAGTGAAGCCGTTAGCCCCTCTAAAGGGTAACAATGCGTTCGCTTCCCACAGCAGATACCTGCAGTCCGGAGTTTTGCAAGTATCTCAGCATCACTGAGGTTGTATTACACGTAATACCCTGCTGTGAAAAATTGTAAAAGGCAATGAATAAGAAGTTAACATTGTCGGCAGCCATCGAAAAACCAGTGTCGGCTATTTTGTGTTCCAAGAAACATTCTCATATTTTTCGGCGTTTACTAAAATAAACTAAACTGTACCTGAAGTCGGCCGAGTCTAATATTTCATGATAATACATTAGTTTGCACTTGTGACTACTGATACTGAAGTCAAAAGTCGTGTTATGTTGCCCCGGAATCTACAAATATATACCTGCATGAAGTTGATGAGAAAGACCTGAGCAAAAAAACATGTTAAGAAACGTGAACACTACCTCAGGTATCCTCCACTGGAGAATATAAGTACCAGAACGTGAACAGAAGTGTGAACCCTTCAATAAAATACAAAATAGTAAGAACATTATCACTCTGAAGGTATAAGGAACAAAACCTGTTCATGTCCAACAAAAATAATAATCAATCACCACTTATCTAGCTTAGATTTAAAGCTAACTACTTTCTGAAAAACGTGCCAGAACGTTGCGACCACAACTACGATATTTCGGTGGCTACCTTCATTATACAATCTTCGTTTTCTACTATACAACACAGTGGTCCCAAAAATCTATTATTATTGTTTCATTTCACGTAAGGAAATCACGAGATACACGATTAAAAAGAAAAAGCACTTGTGGAGACACGAACCTGCATAGAATCCCCTTCTTGGAAGACCACTGCTGCTTCTTCAATCGTAAGATCCACACCAAGCGTAAGTGAAGGATCCGACAAAATCATCGGTATTGGATTGTTCGCGATCGCTGCCGTCACCATTTCCACTGGATTCAACATCGTTGGAGAATGCGGAGTGACAGCTTCTTGGATAACCTTAAAATATAATTTTCAAATCACTTACGTTCAGTCCGCACTAATGAAATACTCCTACGATGAAATCCTAATGGTCAAGCAACCCTTAAACACAAAAACATATACGGGCGAAGAATACTAAACTAGGCAATGTGACTACTCACAAATTCTTGGACGACACATAACTCGTCCCAAAAATCCAATTATTTGCAATTATTAAACCTGTAAAGGATAATAAAAGGATAAAGCTTCAGGTGCTGATCAATCCCTGAGGGATAGGCCATGCATTCGACTTCATCAAGCATCGTTTGAAGGTGACTGAATGCATATCTGACCTTTACAATGACTCACGGTGGCCTACCGATCTATCGAGTCAGTGCTGCTATCCTCCCAGACAAGTCTGGTACCAATTTGCCGGCCCCAGAGGGATGGAAGGCTTGGTGGGCCACCGGCGCTGGGATCGATCCCATGTGTATTGCAGGTCGCCTCTGACCACTGCGCTTCACGCGCTCCTCAATTAAAGTTAACACTACATCAGAAAATTCTATACATAATTTTAATCAGTGAACGTCACGAGAACTCGTGTCATACGATAATGCCCATATGTTGATTCACCTTTGGCGTGTGATACACAACGAATTCGCATTCACTTTTCAGAATATCGAAATCCCACGTCAATACACATCCTACTGATCCCATCGGAATAACTACCTAAAAAATACTACAGGCTGCTAAAATGCAATTCACGAACAGTATTCTAGTTCCAACAAATTAAAGGTATGGACCTATTAGGTAACGATAACAATACTACCTCTATTGGATAACCACGAGTAACAGTAGCAGTTGTGTACATTGAACTGAGAACGTCAGCATCATCTGGAAGCTCTTGAACTGGGCGATACTGTGACTTTGGAATATGTCCGCCAGAAGGACAATCCACTAGGCATGTCCCACCTAAAATCCGCATTGAAATATGAAAAATATTCCATGGTTGAAGCTACGAATGAACCAAAATCACTTGTCAGCTAACCTAAAAAATCCGGAATATATTGGTCATCGATGTATTTGCTGATTTCGCCTTTAGATATTTCTCCACTGTTAATCATGAACTTGTTCCGGGTATTCTCGTCGATGAACGGTGAAATCAGCGTCCAGAGAATTGGAAAAACTCTTGGCGCCCTAACAATCAGCACTTGGCCCATCGTCTCGGGATAGTGTGCCTTAAAATGCTATGCGAAATGAAATTCTAGTGTGTCACATTAATAATAATAAAAGCACTGGAACAAGACCTCATTTGTTATAGCAAAAACTGATAAATCACCTCAACGATCTCAATAATACGGAGTAATGACTGAACACCTGGACGCCAAAGATGTCGCATACTCAGACCTTCGAGATCGACGATAAGACTCCATGTGCTAAAACAAACCGATTTTGATACATATCTATGAGAACGATGAGTGATATGAACGGTCAACGATTACAAGACAAAAACTACATATTAAAAAAGAAAGACAATGGTAATTTTTGAAAAGTTAGAGTTGCTTTGGATGTTCTTTTAAGGACGAACCTAATAGGTGCTCCGATTTCCTTCGTTGCTTCCGCCGTTTTGATCAAACCTTCCTCACAAATTGATAGTGTAAGCTTAACGATATTCTCCAATCCACAAGATCGTAACATGCCTTTCATATCGAGATTCCCAAGACGAAGCAAAAATAGCGGTCGCCCTTCCTTTAAAAATTGTCGAAAGTAAACGCAAACATAGCCGGAAACGAAGGCAAAAAAACCGTAAACTAATTACACAGCATTAAAAAAAACGACCCTAACGCACCTTATCACTGTGATGCCAACATCCTGGGAAAAACTGTGTCATAACAGAAGGAGGACTCCACTCCTAAACATATGATAATGCATTCACCTTAACGTATACCATTAAACAAGATAAAAGGACAAAGGATAAAGCTCTCGGCGTTGATCTAACCCTGAGAGATGCGCCATACATTCGAACTCATTAAATATCGTTTGGAGGTAATTGAATGCATATTTGGTCTATAGATTGACTCGCGGTAGCCTACCCATGTATCGAATCAGTGCCGCTATCCTCTTATACAAGTATGGTACCAATTTGCTAACCCCAGAGGGATGGAAGGCTTGATGTGCTTGGGGCGCAGGGGTCGATCCCATGTGTATTACAGGGTGCCTCCGACCACTACGCCGCATGCGCTCCCTAATTATAAACAAGAAACTGAAGAAATAACATGACAGAACACCTACATGTAGAATCCTATCGACATTGTGCTGTTTCCTCCAGATAATACTGTTGTGAACGAGTTCTTTCGCTCTCGCAACGTCAAAATCACGTGCACGAAGAAATCGTAAAAGATGTGCGTCATTAGGTAACTTTCCCTAAGAAAGTAAATACGGTTGAGACTATTCATTCCGACTAAAACTGACTTAGGATAAGGAGGCACCTTAAGAACAAATTAAAAATACAATGGTGGTTAGGGTGCAGCATACCATCAGTCACAACGTGAAAGAGACTAGAATGGTAATACGGGCGACAACTGGAAGTTTCATGTCACCTTGTTAAAAGTCCACACTTAAATCAACTAGCCGAATTATATCCAGCGGTAAGATTTCGTTTAAACTTCGACAAGAAGGAGTATAGAAACTATATAGATGCCCAAAAGTGTACCGACTGCGAAAGTGGGATAGTTTCTAAAAGAGTGATTGAAGAAACAAAAAGTACGAAAAACACTGCCTACCTTATGTTGGGTCTGTAGACCGTACTTTAGTTCGCAAAGTCGTGATTCTTCTAATGGACTAAGCTGACCAAGAAATCGTCGAATGTATTCAGCCTCAAGCTTTGATTCGGCTAAAAATCCTTTGCTACCTTATCGCATAAAGTAGATACCACAGTTATATCACATAAAACTCATACCAATAACAAACTTTACGGAACGACGACGCTTGCCTGCTTTATCATAACGACGTGCTAGCATCGGCTAGCATTGAATCGCCGGCTTCAGAGCGATAATAAAGATTTTGCGCCTCTCCTCGGTAAATGTACGTCCTTCGATTCACTCCACTAGTCTATCACTCTCTATGATTTACATGCTCCGAGTTTACACACTTCCACTCGAAAGCACATAGAGACTGTATCGTGTATCTTTCAACTACGATGTGCTCCACGTCCAACTCAAACAAAAGAGAGAGAACCGTGCGCACTTTACGCATGACGCGAGCAACACTAGCATAGCGAAGTAGTAAAAAGAGATAAACCTCTCGGCGTTGATCTATCCCTAAGGGATGCACCATGTATTTGACTTCATTAAGCATTGTTTGGAAATGACTGAATGCATATCTAAGCTTTACAATAACTCGCGGTAGCCTAACTATGTATTGAGATGCTGCATATCCTCACAGACAAGTCTGGTACCAATCTGCCCACCACGGAGGAAGACGGCGGCCCAGAAGCGCGGGGAACGATCCCATGTATATTGCAGGGCGCATGCGACCACGGCGCCACACGCGCTCTATAACCAAGTAATACAGCAAGTGAATGTTTGGATTACTTTATTTCTAACTGATAAATGGCAGTAATGTGGTCTTAGATTGGTGTTTAAGGAGGCAAATACGCTAGGCCCGAGACTATGCCAACTTAAGGCGCAAGCCGCTACATTGTCTAAGAATCACGGAGACGACATAGAAAATGCCCAGTGGAATGCCATAATGGTCCATACATCGAGTAAAACATCGCTAGAAGATTTCTACAAACTAGTAAAAACATGGTGAAAAACCACACCGGACAAAAGTGTCCTCTGGTAAGGAAGTAGGACGTAATTCAAAAAACGAATAACGAACTCGTTGACGACCAGTCTCGTCTCGATCGCACGACACGTCATGTGAAAACATGCACTTCAAGTTCGTTCCCAATAAACACTGATGATGAATGCATATTTGATAAATTCACCTTTGTTTTAAGCAAACTGTTCATCAAAAAGTCTCAACGGTGCATAGTACACATTGAAACAACGTAAGAATCACGTGGAACGTCAGTAATCCACTGAACTTATACGAACGAAGTTCGACGTAATTTAAACGAAGACTGATCATAACCAGATATACTTGCAGTGTTGTTAAAAAAGTTTGGCCTAGACCATTACCTCTGCCAGACGCTGTGAGGACGACAACCGAAAGTCCAAATAGAGTTCACTGATGAAATCTCGAGTTAGCCTATGATTAAAGGGTTCAACAGGTGACAGGTGATAAGGGGTGAAGGACCAGTTAGTTGAGAATGAATGATAAACAGAAAATGCTGTCCAAGATATATTAAAATTGTGTCACACCGTCGTGTCATAGCCAGTCGCTCAGAAGTTCTGTACAAAGCCACTACTCCGAACAATTTGCTTAATACTATAACACATGGACCTGGACCCTAAACTAGTATTTCAAACAGTGATGCGAATATTCAAATCGAATTCCATGTAGAAAGCGGTAGTTCCCTCCAGCGCATGTCTTGACATTTACGATTGCAGGGCATTCCTTAGACTTTCTAATCACTCAAATTTTATTCCCTACTCTACTGAAATTCTAGTTCTAAACAAACAAACGCAAAACATAAGGTGACAAAATTAAAAAATCATATTTCTTCTTACATCGACTGAGCAAAGCTTACCCTTCAAGTCCCTCAAGTTGTTGCCTCTTAAATACTCGTTTAATCAAAAAATTACCAGTACTTGTTGAGAAACCAGCCTTACACATTACCCCATTCCTCGACATTAACACACATAAGATAACACTTACAGTCATCAAAGCTTGCTGAATTCTTCAACGCTTGCGTGTCCGAATGTAGTTTAGACTCTCGTCGCATAACAACATGCCTATAATGTCAACCTTTTATTTGCTGCCTACCATAATTTTTTACTGCAGGATATGATGTGAAATACAACCACAACGATGCTGAGATATTGGCAAAACTTGAATCCCGGGCTAGAACGAACCATAACTGCCCTTTACGGGACTGGCGTATTACACACAGAACAATCGCGTACACTTACAAACTTTGTGTAATACGCGAGCCCTCGAAAAGGGTAATTATTGTTCGATCTGACCCGCAGTCCAAGTTTTACGAGTACCTCAGCATTGTTGCGGTTGTATTACACAGCATGCATACAATTCAAAAACCTCTGATCCTTTTTTTGCAGTTTAGGAGCTCGTCTTTCTAATGAACCAACAACGTTGGTTAAGAAACCCTTTGCTCTACGAACTTCAGCTGTGTACGTTCTTCGCATTTGATGTTTCTATTGTACACAGTATTTTTCCTTTGACAATGAATTTAACATAATAATGTTGACATCCCATAACATTACAAAGACCGTGGATCATTTGTGAACTGAGGATAAAACGAACTGAGACGCACGCATAAACAATATCCCGCATATGTATATGTAGGAAATAGGCAACCTACCAAAACGGATACAATTAAAACGCAGCCACCTGGATTTCAGACACGTTTGATCATCAGCATTTTCCTTGGAAACTTCGATAGTTGGAGTTACAATGGAATCACCATCGTTGGCTTCGAACCGAGGAATATAATTGATTCCACTTTTTATAAGCTCATCGATGAAGTACTCAAGAATCTCCTTACCCTGCAAAAGGTTCAATTATATATAATTCCAACTCTAGTTTAAACAAGCACTACAACAGATGGGAATACACCACCCATGACCACAATTCAATCCAGTGCACCCTTTGGAAGCATTAGTGAGACAATATCGACACAGTCGCAGGTTAACAGCTCAAAAAACTCACAGCGTTGATCAACCCCTGAGGGATGCGCTATGCATTCGACTTCATTAAAAATCGTTAAAGACGTTAGAATGCAATCGTTGAAATTCAAGAATGAATGAATGCAAGAATCGTGCAAGAATGCATATCTGGCCTTTACAGTGACTCGGGGTGGCCTACCGATGTATCAAGCCAGTGTTGCTATCCTCCCAGACAAGTCTGGTACCAATATGCCGACTCCGGAGGGATGGAAGGCTCGGTGGTCCTGAGGCGAGGGTATCGATCCCGTGTGTGTTGCAGGGCGCCTCCGACCACGGCGCTACACGTGCCCAATACCAGGTTAACATGCAAACATTTCGCTTCTCTTAAACAAAATCGCATTTTTACTAACATTTTTTAGAACAAATACAGAGTAAGAATGATTGAAAAGGTTTTTCAGGACTAATCTCCATTTTTTTTTGTTTTCTCTTATTTCATTTTCTTAAGCTCTAGCTCACCAGTTTACACTATAAATACACTACATGAAATTCATACAGTGACATCTTGGCGCCCAGGAACGAAGGCGGAAAAAAGGATACCGGCCATATGCAGTACACCAAGAGCAAATCACCATTACTGAATAAGATTTACTTAACTAAGTGTTTGCTTCTCCAGATAAATAAAAGTGATCAACCTTTACATGTGATATAATACCGAAGAGTTCAAATATTCGTATATAAAACAAATCGTTGACATAGTAGAATCACCAGGGTGGATCCCAACACTAACCTTGGCTAAATTAGCTGCATATTGCTTCATAGCAAGTTTCTCTACAGCTGTTTCGAATCCGAAAAAAGACTTCACATCTAGTGCTGCGTTCTGCTCGAAGCATGTCCAGTCGGGATTGTCAGGATGAACCTGGGAAAATGTTTGTAACGCAGCCATCAAATCAACTAATCTCAGTATTCGTGATAAGAGCAAAGTTTCACCCTCAAAGAGCATGACTGCATGGAACTTGAGCAACAGTGTTCAAATGTACATCGTCTTATTTTTCTTTTTACATTATTTTACTCGACTCGTCAACAAACATACTGTCCCGATCCCAGCACTTCTTGCATTCGATTCGCTTCAGACGCATTTATCGCCCACAAAGGTCTTCAAAATTCCGCTTGTTGTATCGGCTGGAGGATTTCGTCTTTCTTACGAACGTCATAGAATGCTGGTTGAGTTTATTCTCCTTGCAACGTTATGGAAAGTATAGCCGACTAAGGTGTTTCCATGATTTGGTTAGGGGGGATCGCCGCTGGGAAGGGGGTCCGACCACTACCTTGCTTCCTGATGGACCCCACCGCTAATCACTGCACTATTCTGTGAATGAAATGCGATGAATCTCATCAACTTCGTCGCATATCGTTCATATACTTTGATAAACGCTCCTACCACTACTACTTGAGCGGTGAATTTGGAGAATCCCTAAGAAGAAACTAAGCATTAATCAAACACCGTTTCTCTCGAAAACAGGAAATATTTAGTGTGTGCTAATGCGGCTTACTTCGAGCTGAAAACTAACTGCTGAGTATAAAAATGGACTCACATAGTAATTACAATTCTCTTTGACGATGATTCGTGTTGAGAAGGTTATATTTGACGCTTCAATCAATAACGTTCGTTTTCGTCGATCCAATGAGTTCTTCTGCGTGAAATATACATAATCTACACCCGCAATCTAAAAATGATATGATTTCAATCCAGTTATAACGTTTGTACAGACTAAATTAGAATGTATTGCATGAATAAGTACAAATTGCCTATAAGAAAACACACCTAACGACCACATAAACCCTTTTGTGAGTTCAACCTTGGGGTTAGCTTAAGAAAACTAACTTTTTTCACTAAATAAGGTGCGTCAACATTCAGCTGACATTTTCGCTCAATCACCCATTGAGCACCGTCGGCGCTGTGATACTCGTTTATTACTTCGGAACCGACGAAAATCGGAATCTGAGGACACGTCGGAAAACGCTTCTCATATGCCTGAAAAACACTGGATTAAAAGTTTACGTTGTGAAATCCGTCGTCGTCGCTTCGTTCGCATTTTTTGCAGATGAAGTTTTCCTTCTCTGAAAATGCAGCCGGAGGATTGCTGCTCATTTTGGGTTGTTTATGTGCAGAAGCGCATTTCTGGATGAGATTGTTACGAGGCTTTCAGCGGTGGCATTTGTTTGTTTCTTGTGACCACCAGTGTAGAAAGGCCTACGTATTTATAGTAGATGCACCTCTAGAGGAGAAATAAAACGAAAAAGAAAAATCGGAAAAAAGAGATGAGACATCTCGTTTGTTTAGCGCATTCCGCCAGCTTTAACTCGAACACTTCATCTATCGACCACTGTTCTTAAGCTTAGTTTGTTCTATTCTCAACATTAAGAGCTTTGAGCAACATCTACGTGTATGTATGCATGAGAAAATCATTTCACACCAGTGAATTCTTCGCAATAATTAACAATCCATTATCGACAAACCAAATATGCCTTCACTTCCGGTGTTTACCTATAACTTTTAAAACAAACCACTTACTTAGAAACATTGATAACCTGTCACAACTGATTTTGCGCGCTCTAGCATAAATTCCATCTTTTTCTGAGTTTTGCTGGTTTAACCATTGTTGTTCCCTGGAGTCTCGAAATCAGCCTAGCCAAAGTCTGCCGCGGTTCGTCACCACCATAGCTAGTCGCCGCTGTTGTGGATCAGAGGTAGACTTGCCACCATGCGACTAGTCTGATATCAGGACGGTGGTGGATCCTGGTATTGGCTTACTCATAGTTGGATTTCCTGATGGAAACGCCGGACTCCTTTTCAGCTTGGGAGGCCTTACGGGGTGGACGAATCCCCTTGCTGCGCATCCAGCCCGACATTCAGAAACACCTCCAAGCCGCGGTAAACCGTTGAGAGGTTTAAAACAAAATAAGACCAAGAATTTAAAAATTACATGGTATTGAAACATCATAAGTACTTACCGCCATTACTAGTTCAAAAGGGTATTTATAAACTCTGACGGGTGACTGGTAGGTTTGCACCATGATGTGCAACCTTTTCTGAAAAAATTAAAAATGTTATGCAGCACAATCAGGAAAAATACGACATTGATACTTCGCCATGACGTTGTACAGAGAGATGAAGCATGTAAAACAACAACACCGATATGCGCAGAAAAAACATGTTCTGTGAAGATATTAAAGAAATTCTAGCACTGGTTCGACAGACTAGCTTGATTTATATTCTTATATCGAGACAGTTTCTTCGAGAATTAGACAGCCGGTCCTCTTCTGTCCAGAAGCTCCCAGAACTTCTCTAATTCATTTTGCTAAGATGCTACCGTTATCAATTGAGGTAGCCGGTTCTTGAGTGAGCTTGGCCTTGTGGTCGGCCTTGGATACAGAATCCGTCGTTTTGTCTCTTTACTGACATATTGAATGCTAGCCAAGCGTTGTTTTCTCTGGAATCATGAGAAAGTCGTTTCATGGCGTCTTTAGGACTCCACTACAGGTTACCTGCTCAGCTCCAGCGATTGTGAATCCGGCAGAGACTTGTAGCTTCTGAGTAAGACTAATTATATACGGCAGCGATGCTTACGATCAGTTACTCGAACATACGAAACCTCCGAATCTAATATGGCCAGAATCCCATATTTGTAGAAGTAGTTGTAAAATGTAAAATGCATCTGGGAGGTGTTCCTGGGTGTCGAGCTGAGACGTATGGAGAGGGAATTCATCTCCCTGACAGGGTCTCCAAGTTGAGAAGGAGTCCGATCTTTCCATCAGCAAGCCTAGCTAAGAGTAAACCAATACCAAAATCCATCGCCGTCCCGCTATCAAAGTCGTATGGTGGCAAATCTCCCCTTGATCCACAAGGGTTGCGACTGCCTGTGGTGGTGAAGACTTGGAGTAGACTTTAGCCACGTTGACCTCAGGATTCCAGGGAATCACAATGGCCTAACCAGTAAATCTCCGAGAAATGGAGATTATGCTGGAGCCCGCAAAACCAGTGAGGATGGGCCGCTTAAGTACCAAGTAAGTAAGCAAGTTGTAAAATGACTTGTTGCAGGTGTAACAATGTTGCTGCGCCGAGAGTGAGATTTAAGGACGAGCGACCAGAGGAAGCTCCTGAGTAAATACCCTCTACCGTAAAGAAGTTTCACCCATGAATTAAACTCTCTTCACCTACCTAAATAGTACCTTATATCTTTGACATGGCAAAGATGTCCTAGCAAGTGAACGAAATGAGAATCGGTAGTCAAAATTTAGACCGGATATAGTCTTTGGTCTAAAAATTAATTTCATCAAATGGAAAACAAGAGTTTGCAAGGTTTCATGTTTTTCATACAGCTGAATATGGACACAATTACACAACCGTACCGATTATTTGATTTCTCCTCCGGATTAACTCCAATATTCGCACAACTATTTCAAAACCGACTTTCTTTTAACATCGGCATGACTAATCAATATGTATTATTTCTTCGGTAAGCTTACACGAGGTTGATAAATAATCTTTATTTTCGGCTAACGTTTCGACGCCGTCTTCATCAGACCCAATGATCCGAGTCGATGGTCGAAATCCGTCTGATGAAGACGAAGACGTCGAAACCTTTGCCGAAAATAAAAATTACTTTTACTTATCATTCTCGTGTAAGCCTGGCAAGGAAAGAATACATATCCACACAAATAATAACTCACTTTCAGCCTGTTATAGTCCTCAGTTGTCACCTTCACACGTATTTCACATTTTACATATTACATTGGTAGGTCGAGAGAGGACTTGTAAGAAAAAGCACGGTAATGTAAAAAAAAAACTTCGGTGAAACTCCAATGTTCTTTTCTAAAACAGTGTTAACATTTCAAAAAATTTTTACTCATTGGATTATTAGCGTCACAAAACAGAATAGAAGAGCAAGATGCTCACACGTTGACAAAAACCAGATTACTGTAGCTTGTACCGCCCAAGAAATATCGGGAAGTTCCGAATTTCTATGGATTCTGTTTGTAACTGCACTACCTAAAACCTTAGTAAAATATCCGACACTTTCTGCTCATACTGTACAAAACAAGATTGCATGAAACTGAACACGGGAGAACAGAAAAAGCATACGTTCTACCCGTTGCTATAAGAGTAGTACAATATCTACAAATATTTCAAATACAATACTAAAACAATGGCGTTTCACGACCTTCCACTGTTGTATCATAAAAATTTAGTAATATTAGTAGCGGAAAATTAGCCAATAGGCGAAACATATGGCGCGAATCGTCGTTTCACCATCGCGCCACAAGAAAATTCACGAGCCATTAGTTCTTGCACGAAAGTGGTCTGGATTTTTAACACATCTGGAAAGCCAGATTCACCTAGTGGATAAGTGAGGATGGACGTCAGTGAAATGAGAAGACGAGAACGAACGACAACAAATGTTGCCTTCAATTAGTTGAAATGATGTGTGACGAAGTGCTTCATTGCGGCATAACGTAGCAACGACAACTGAATTCGTAGACGATGAACGCCTCTGCGTAGGCTGTTCTCCTAAGACTGACAATATGAGGAGCCACAGAATGTTGCAGTACAATACTCTGAAGTAAGGAGTGCCGGAACACGCACAAAAACTTCATTCTGGATGGATGCGATTATGCTACTGCAAATATTGATTTACTGCAGCATGGTTAGACTAAGTCGAGCACGTACTCAACTGAACAATAACGAGCTTTATGAGAACAGCATGAGATACTTCCATATCCCATGTATGGTCGCTATGTGAAGGAACTCCGGCCTCTCAGTACAAGACAACGAATAGCATCTTTAGTTTTCGTATGTGTTTTCGCATATTTGCTGTGCTAGCCTACTATGTTTAATACCTGCGTCTAACAGCATCGAATGTCCTAGTCTACGCTCTAGTCTAACTAACCTCTACTTTCCGTATACATGTAATCATACTTACAAAACCGCATATAAGTGTGCCACTGAAAGATCCTGTTGAGATCCAGTGGTCACCTTCTCGCTGGAAACAGGTAAAAAATAAGGGACCTAATATTGGAATTTTGATGCAATTGGCGTCAGCTCAGCAAATGAGCAAACTCACTGAGCATCACTAGAGTACGACAATGACGAAAGGAGACTTTACTGGTTTATATGTTGTTTGATGATTATCACATAGCGGACTACGTGCATCGACTTCAACGCATACAGTGCAAAAAGACCAGCTTTCAACTTCAAACTAAAATATCCGTTCGTAGCGAATATCACTAATTGCGATCAAAACCATTGAAATCCATAGATTTTTGCTATCAAGAAGCGTATTCCTTTATTCTTCACCAACAAAATTCTCGTTTCCTAGAATTCGTGAAACATATTTCTTCTCTTTTTCTCTATCGATGATCGCCTCTCAAACACTGAAGCGTTCAAGCAGTCGGAATTTTGTGACGTGATGGAACCACCAACTGCATCTTTAATGTATGCTAGTATGCATGTGTTGGAAACTTCAAAAATTTAAACTATGTTCAGCACACTATAGAGATTTTACTTCTAAGGATTCTTAACAACAAATAGATAGGGCACAAAAAAACTATACGTACCTTTAAGGCAATAGAGAAAATTCTCTTCTGTACTTCTCCAAATACTCAGATGACACGTCCGATACTAATCCTCGTACTTCCTTGATTAGTTTCGCTGTCCTACAACCGCCATCGATATAAGTTGTCAGTTTCGAACGTCGACTTGACAGCAACGTGAGCATCTATCGAATCGACTTCTGTCCTCACTGACATTTTGAATAATCGCCGAGTGTAATTTTCCCGAGAGTAGAGGATAGCCGTGCTGCTGGTGTTTCCAAGTAGTTAATATAGGCATTTACAATAGTAGATGTGGACCAAATGAAACGGTGATATTTTGAAACTCGTATTTTCTCAGGAGGATAGGACGGAAGACGTAATGCTCTCATAGCAACAAATCATTGAACTATTCGTCCGATCATTAGACGATAATATAAGCAAGCCGAATTTAACCACTTCTTCACATCTACCAAATTCCAAGCTCTTCAAGTACTTCAGTTATCGAAAAAGCATGCCCTTAGTTATCAAAAACTATCACGATCATGATCTGTTACCCCTTAACATCGCTACAAATGACATGTGTGATTTTCATATCAAACTGATCCTCAATATTAATCAAGTAATTCTAAAGGTTTCTTGTTTGTCTTTGACTTACAGTTAAAAAGAAAAAAGAACAGATGAGGTTTATTTCACGTACTCATATCCTGAACGCTTCAAGCTATTCCATTCGCCGACTATGAAGCACGTGAAAATCCTAGCAGAACGTGAAGAAACAAAAAGAAAAGTTACCTTCCTGGATTGTTAAGGTAACATGGGGTTGATAAATAGATTTTCACGGCAAACGCTTTGACGTCTTTGTAAGAGCCGATGATCCGAGTCGATGGCCCAATCCAGGAACATAATGACCATCACTACCGAGGTTAAATGACGATCGTTTTGAAAACTATTGTTTCGCAATTCGTTATGTGGTAGAAAAAAGCTACGACCACGTTTTTTACTTCCGAATTTGCGAAATGTGAAAACAAAGTTGCACGAGTAGTTGCTGAACACAACCCACTCTCAAATGAATGGAACTGAAAACACATTTAGAACGCAATTCCAATACAACACACGTCATCTCCTGGTTTATACGATGAACACGCCAAAATAGTAATCTAATTTGAATCTATAGTATTTCTGTTCTAATGACGTCAACATCGAGTAGCACAAGCAAAACGTACGACATCTAACGCTAGTACCCATTCACATTCCTTTTCAAATGTTCAACTGAAAAAGAAGAAAAAAGCAGCACAAAGATGTTTCAATTCGATGACGAAAATGTTTTAGAGAAACATAATGGTTGGTCATGAGGTGAGCTGGAAGGTTTCAAACTAATCCTCTCGAAATACTTACAGAATTGAACGCTATAACACTTCCATTGCTAAGACTTACTGAAGAATCTACCAGTGATATCTTAGATTTGGAAGAATTGTCATGAATCAAAT